GCCGTCCCTAGTGACCAGCTGATTACTAACCTAGGCCGTGCCGGATGCTTTTGAGGCCTCATTTTCAAAAAGAAAGAAAAAATGCAAAAGCAAAGCAGAAAAGGACAAAGGAACATAAAACTTAAGTTCTGAAAGGAAGCTTGATCGAACAGGCGTCTAATAAAAGCAGGCGGTTGGTAAAATCAGTCGTCTAGAAAATTAGAGCTCAAGTTCAGGGGTTCAAGAAGTCTCTTGCAAAGTTCGCAAAATGTGAACAAAAGACTTGGTCAACATGCCCTTATATAGGGTAAAATGAGAATGCGAAGGGTCACTCCCAAAATTTGAAATAAGGCGGGAAAAACTCTCGGCCTATCACGGGACGACACTTGTAGCAGGCCGTCGCCTGTTACAGGCCGACACCTGTCACAGGTGACATGCGACCAGTCACGTGCCACCTGTGAGGGGCAAATGATTAGGGGATTTTCCTCGCCCAATCAGTGTGCGCCACGTGGACCAATCAGGTCCTGCCAAGTGTCCCCCATTTGGACCTATCAGGGCTTGCCACGTGGCATACGACCATTTGTCCACCATGGACCAGTCATGCCATGCCGCGTGGCCTAATGACTGCCATCTTGGAAAGAGGCCACCTAGGCCCAATTCCTGAGGGAAGCCCAGTCAGTTCTACGGTTTACCAAAAACCCTAGAATTAGGCACGCATCTCGAGGCTATAAATACCGTTATTAAGCCTCCATTAAAGACTAATCCAGAATTAATTGCTCTCACCTGGAGAAGCCTAAACACACTAATCACTCCTCCCCTTGAGGAGCCAGATCTCCCACCTTTACTTTTCCGCACTTAATTACTCCTCAAAAAAGTACTAACTTGACCGTCGGAGGCGGAACTCCCATCACCCGGAATCTCCGTTGTTTTGCAGGTACAAGCGCAAGGATACCAGTCCCGAAATTGTAACTCTCTCGCGGGATATCAGGAAACCCCGAAATACTTACTATCCCGGTGATGATTTTTTTAGTAAACTTTTAGTAAAATCTTAATATTCCACTATTATATAATTGACGGGTCTTTTTATTTTAGTAAAATCTTAATATGTGAGACTAATAAAGTAAGCTAATTTAATAATTATGTGTGTATATAAATATCTATAAAGTATACAGAATTATTTTATAGATAGAATATAGTAGTTTTACAAGTATCTTGCTAGAAGTTGTTCTTTAGGTAATATATTCTATAGAATTTTTTATTAATCCAATCACATAATATACGTAGTAATATATTCGATATAATAAAAATTTGCGGGATAATAAATTCCTTTTAAATATATAGTTATAGATTTTTTTTACCTCACTCTTTTTTTTTTTTTTTTTTTTTTTTTTTTTTTTGGGTTAATGAGATTCATCTTAAAAAATAATCTAATTAGTATGTGTTAATATTTTACGAGAATGCTATTTTGTGACATTTGGTACCATTGTTAGTATAGAATCTGATACCGTGTAGTACTATAGCTCTTGCAAGCAACGTAACAAAAAGGTTGATTATGAAGGAGGTGGAAAGTATTAGTGCGACAAGTTTAACGCACATGTCAAATCTGCACCACCAAGGTACTTTTTCGAAAAATAGTACATGGTTATATAAAAATTTTAAATACTAAGTACTTTTGTAATATAATCTACAATATTAAATTTCTATTAGTGGTAGATACAAAGTGACTGTAACAATTGAAGATGATGGCAGAATAACAACTTTTGTCCTGTTTGATCGTGAAATATTTCAAATTCTGCAAATATCAGCAATGGATTTGAAGGATAAGCTATCAAAGGTAATTGAAAATATGAGTACAACATTTTTGAGCTTTAATACTCATATTATTTGACTAGCCGACCGTACCCTTCTTTGTTCAATCATTCTAATACAACATACAGTATACATTTTCTTATTCATAACTTTATTGGTGGGCTTAAATCTTAAAAATAAAAGATAGAAGTAACTATTAGTAGTAGTTTTATATAATATATAGTTATAGATTTTTTTTATTTTTTATTTTTTATGCAGAAAGGTAAAAGTGATCCATATCCAAAAGAACTTGATTTACTTTTGGACAAAAAATTATTGTTCAAGGTTCATATTTCAAAGTACAATCTCGAAATAAATTGGGATAAGTTTATAGTCCTCAAAATAAGTAATGATGAGAAATTAACAAAATCCTTTTTGGAAGTCAATAGTAATGAGGTCGCGGGGGTAAGGATAGATTGACGTATTATGTTCAATTACGATGCAAGTATTGTATTTTTTTTTTATTATTTTCAAGAAGATGATGTCAATGTTCAGTCTTTCAATAAATTAAAAGAAGTTTCGCCTGGCCTGAAAAAGATAAGGTAAAATTTTACTATATAAAAAGTTGCTACATAATTAAGTATATGATGTTGTTTAAAAATAATTGATTTATGTACTTAAAAATCATGAAATTTATATTATAGGAATCTACATCTGTGATTTGTGATAATGGGATCCAAGTGTTTTCTTAATCACTCTAACAAAAAGACCTATTTGGTTAGCAATTTATTATTATGAAATACTACAATAATACTTAATTATTTTTTAAAGGCAAAAAAAAAAAAAAAATGGTGCTACAAAATAATTTAAGTACCTAAAAAACATGCATTAAGATTTTAAAAAAAAAAACAAAAAAAGCTAAACATATAATTTTATAATGTAAAGTACACGGTCTCAATTAGATACAAAACATAAGGTTTTCATTAAATGATTTAAAATTTTGTGACCACATTAAGAAACGGAGAGAGCATTTTATTATGTTGATTAAACCAAAAGTAAATCTAAAAGATAAAATGTGTAAAGGCCATAAACCTTTTTATTTATATCTCTAAATCTAAATTTTTTTATTCAACATTGAATTAAAATTATGATACACAGTATCATGATAAGATGGGTACATATTATTGTGAATGAATAATCAAATAATGTAAAAAATATCACTATTGTGCATTAAGCTAACTTTAGTTTCGATTGTGTGAGATTTAATATTTGAACTTTTATATCCGTGCAATTTCACGGGTATTATACTAGTAATGTCTAAACATTGAGGAGATACATCGTTTTGAGGCATCGTCCGGGTCTAAAAACTACGAGAGCAGGAAAGGAGGTAACAATCGAAAAGTTCATTGGAGATCGTGGGATGATATGTGTACTCCAAAATGTTTTGGAAGAATGGGTTTCAAGGATTTGGAGATCTTCAATGTTGCTCTTCTCGGGAAACAAGCTTGGAGATTAGTTCAAAGGGAAGATTCTTTACTTGGAAGAGTCATGAAAGCAAAGTATTATCCCCATAGCTCGTTCCTTGAAGCCTCTCTGGGCTATGGCGGAAGCTATTCGTGGAGTAGCGTTTGGAGCTCTAAAGCTCTAATAAGGAGGGTATGATATGGAGGATTGGGACCGGTGTTAATGTTAATATTTGGTCGGATCCTTGGTTAGCCAATGAGGAGGGGCGATTTGTTACTAGTAATGTGGCCTAAGGTGTGAACCAAGTGTGTGATCTTGTGGATTTTTCGAGAATGGAATGGAATGAAGAACTTATCTCTAATGTCTTCAACGATAGGGATAAGAAGTGCATACTTTCGATCCCTTTGAGCCTTAGAGCTCCAAGTGATAAGCTTACTTGGGCATTCTCTAAGGATGGGGAGTATTCTACGAAAACATCATATATGTTGGGTAAAGGCTACAACTTTGATGCTTTCCATCGTGCTTTGGTTGAAATTTGGAGGCTTGATGCATCCCCAGAAGTGCGACACTTTCTTTGGTGCGTTTGCACTAATACTTTACCTACTAAACGGCTGCTGAAGTTTCGCCACTTAGTTGACAGTGCTAGATGCCCGTGGTGTGGTGTTGAGGATGAGACAACTACACATGCCTTGTTTGATTGCTCTAAAGTTCATGATATGTAGGAGGAAAATGGTTCCTCGATATTGTTACAAGAGGGGAGATAGCTTGTGTGATATGATTGCTAGCTGGAAGAGTACGGATACCAAGCTCACTCAACAAGCTACATACCTTGCTTGGATAATTTGTGGGGAGAGGAACCACAAGGTTTTTTTATGGAGGGTGTAACCCTGATGAAGTTTTGCTCGCTAGACTAACAAGATTGGTGGATGAATTTGGAGCCTATGGTAAGAAAATCTACCCAGCAACCCCTAGAAGACACCCTTCAACTTGCAAGACATGGCAGCCTCCACCTAATGGTTGTGTGAAGGTTAATGCAGATGCAGTTGTTGGCAGTGATGGATGGGTTGGCATGGGGGTCGTTGCTTGTGATTTTGAAGGAAAGGTGTTGTTTGCAGCAACTAGGAGAGTTTGGGCTTGGTGGTCACCTGACATTGCTGAAGGTAAGGCACTCCTCTTGGCTGTTAAGCTTGCGAAGCAACATGGGTATGGTGATGTTATCCTTGAATCCGATTGTCAAGTCTTGGTGAACCGTCTCTTGAAGGAAGCAGTCTTTTTCACAGATTTAGATAATGTGCTAGGAGATATTCTATTTTTGAGTAGTGCTTTTAACTCTTTAGTTTGGTCTCATGTAAAAAGGGATGGGAATCTTGTAACTCATCACCTAGCTAAGTTAGTGTCGTTTGGCCTAGTGTGGAACAAGTCTGGAAGAATCACTGTCCCGCAGAGATCTCTCCTTATGTACTCTCGGACATTTTGTCTATGAATTAATGCACTAGCTTTGCGTTTCCCTCGAAAAAAAAAAAACAACGAGTATATTGCCTAATAAAAACAAAAAAAAAAATTGCCTAACAGACTAAGGCCTTGTTCTTTTGAGCTTTTGGGTAAAGCAGAGCAGAAATTAGCAGAGCAGGTTTTAGTAGAGCAGAGAAGAGCAGAGCAAATTTTAATAGAGCTGAGTAGAACAGAGCAGCTCAAAAGAACATAGCCTAACAATGCCTTAGTATTGCTTTTTTTCTTTTTTGGTAAGTATATGCTCGTAGCCTTGTTCTACGTATATCCTTATTCTTGGCAACTTTTTTTCGGTTAAATTTCACATTCCCTACCAAAACATATTCCCAAATCTAACCTCCGCGCAACTTTACTCTGATGTCTGATCCCCCGCATCTTCACGTAATCTCTCACCAAATTTCTCCCCCTTTTCTTCAATCTTCCGTTTCTGCAAACCCTCAATTTTCTGATTCCCACCGCATTGATCCGCAGGTTTGTGCTTTTCTTGCCCTAGAAATCGATTTATATTATTGGGTTATTACCGAAATTAGGGTTGATTAATTGGTATATCTTAATTCGATCGATATATTAGTTTGGATTTTGATGGCAATGTTGTTGTTATAATTCGAACAATAATGATGAATAAGAAGAAAAGAAAAGGAAGCGGAATTGATGATGATTGTGAAAACCTAATTAAGACTCCAATTAATCCGTTGCAATTGATTAATGAAGATAGAGGGTCGATTATTAGGGCACATTTATCGCTTGAAGATTGTTCTAGGTTGAAGAAGAAGTGTAAAGAAGATGTGGGTAGTAATAATGTTTTTGATGGATCATCATGTGTTAGAAATAGAATTGTTGGGGTTTCGACTGTTCCCCCTTCGATTGGATTGTCGTATGTCGAACCGAGTCGGGGTTTGAAGAGGAAGATTGGGTGTATTGATGTTGCTACACAAATTGGTAGCAGGAAGAATAAGCTTGAGGATGATTATGTTATGATCAAGACTATAGGGCAGGGGAAATTCGGGTCGGTTTGGTTGTGTAGGTGTAAGGCGAGTGGGCGCGAATATGCGTGTAAGACATTGAAGAAAGGTGAAGAGACGGTGCATAGGGAAGTCGAGATAATGCAGCATTTATCAGGGCATCCTGGGATTGTGATGTTGAATGCAGTGTATGAGGATTCTGATTGTTTTCATCTTGTGATGGAGTTGTGTTCCGGGGGCAGGTTGGTTGATGAGATGAAGGAGAATAGGTGCTCGGAACAACGAGCTGCGCATATATTGAAGGAATTGATGCTTGTGATCAAGTACTGTCATGAGATGGGAGTTGTGCATAGAGATATAAAGCCGGAGAATATATTGCTTACAAGTTCAGGGAAGATGAAACTTGCTGATTTTGGCTTGGCTGTCAGAGTTGCTAGTGGTAAATCTCTTAAAACTTCTGCTGTTCAATATCATTAATCATGTATGTTAGTTGTTATCTGGATGATACATTCTGGTGCTTTCCCGTTGTTTCTGGTATTGAATGTTACAGGAAAAATAAGGTGTGTGATTTGAAAATGCGATCTTGAATATTGAAAAGAGTTATATGTTGTAAGCTTGCGTACGATTTGAAGTATGTGCTTGGCAAGTAACAAACTCATGTTGCCTGCACCCTGGAATGTGCTTTTGTGAACAATACTTGCATGATTTTTTATACGATTACGTCTATAGAAATTAGTAGCATGGAGCAATGCAATCATAATAATGCTGGCTGTAGATTGGTCATTAATGTATCCAATTTGGGAGTTCAGTATCTGTAGATGGTTTTTGCTTCCTTAAGTCTCTCTTAGGCTCTTATCAGATGTTTGCTACAAAAAGTATTGCCTGTGGACTTGTCATTCGTTTGATTCATTCATTGTGCAGTGTCCAAAATAACTGACCAATTGTTATTTGTTTTTCCTTTGTTTTATGCTTGCTGGGTTTTTTTAAACTTGTGTTTCATCTGCAAATTCACACTGCATGCAAAATCTGTCCATTTTGTTATGTGATATTTTTTCACGAGACATGGAGTATATGAGTATGATATTTTTCGTTGAATAGCACATAATTGTCACTGCTGGAAAATAGTTGTGCGGAAGTAGTAGTGGGCTATTTTATATCTGGAGAGGAAATGCGATAAAATGGCGTTGATGGTAAAATACTTGAGTGGAACTTGATTATCCTGTATTCATTACATTGCTTCATATTAGATCATGTAGTTACGTCGGTGATCATGCATTACCAACTTACAATAATTTTTACAATGTTTCTTGATTAATTTAGATAGTCTGATATCAATCTACTAGATTTTTCCTTAGTTGATTTCTAGATACATTCGATACTAGAATATACTAGATACTTTGATTACATGATTTTTCTAGATACTTTGGTTACATGATTTTTCTAGTTATTTTATATTAGATATTTTCTTAAGAGTAATTCAGATCATATTTAGATTAATATTTTAACAGTCACTTGTTTCTAAGCTGCAGTGTTCTGGTTCTGTGCGATGGTTTCTTCATTCTTTAGGTGTTGTGGATGCTATGCGTACTTTAGTCTTTACAAATTTTGGCTTGTATTCATTTTGTGTATGTGAACAGGTCAGAGCTTGACTGGAGTAGCTGGAAGTCCAGCCTATGTTGCACCTGAAGTACTCTCCGGAGCTTACCGGGAGAAAGTGGATATCTGGAGTGCTGGCATTCTCCTTCATGCCCTTTTGACAGGCTCTCTTCCATTCCAAGGGAAGTCAATAGAAACGGTTTTTGAGGCAATCAAGAATAATAAACTAGATTTCCACTCTGGCGAATGGCTGTCGGTTTCCAAACTTGCACGAGATTTAGGTGAGAAAATGTTGACGAGGGATGTTTCAGAAAGGATTTCAGCAGATGAAGTTCTTGGTAAGTGTTTTTTTTATATTACTTATGTATAAGCTCTTTTCAACAAACAAAGTTCTTGTTAATCTAATTATGGGTGGGAGAAACTATCATAGGAACTTTAGGAAGTATGACAACTTTTTTTTGACAAATAAGTTAATACTTTAATTTCCGGATGGAAGAGTACTTTAATACAATGTTTTCCTTGATTTGTATTTTTCAGGGCATCCATTTATAATGTTCTATACAGAGAGGACATTAAAATCGCTTTCCATCAAGTCTAATTCAAGAAATGTATCAGTGACTCCTTCCCACCAATCAGACAAAACCTCGTTGCCTGAATCACACAAACTCCTGCCTAGCTCTTGCCCATCAAATGAGAATTTAGATCCGGCTGTAACAACCAAGCATCTCGTGACTTGTGATACTGACAAGCAAGATGACTGTGGTCTAATGGATGTACTTGTAGTAGCAATCTCACAAGTTAGGATTTCAGAACCGAAAAGAAGTAGGCTGTGCTTCTCCGACAGCAGCTCAGTCCAACTGCAGTATTCTTCTAACAGCCTCTGTAAAGCATTCTAATTTAGTTGGCTGACATAGCTAACTTTATTTTCTCCTCTTAATATTGGATAGGGTGGTTGTAATTAGCTTTATGGAAGCTGTAGCATCAATTTAATGTCTCTAATCAACCTAATTGGCTCTGTGTAATGAGCTCACTGTCATTGTAATCCAAACAGTACACTTGATCATGTATATAATCACTTGATTATGCTCATTGCAATCACCATACGTTAATACGTGAACTCTATTGTGAAGCCACAACAATGGTGAATTCGCATCCCTCCTTAGTTCTTACTACTGAGGCAAATGACTGGATCATAAAATGACTGATCTATGTTCTTACTCTCTCCATTCCTACTTGATGGTCATGTTTAAAATGTTTTTGTCAGAGAAAAGCATAACAACCAAAAAGGAATGATAGAATACTACTCGTATTTATTACAACATTTTCTTATTTGCGTATGATTTTGCTCTACCCTCTTCTCTTCATACGAGTGCTTTTATTTTCCTCATCTCTCCCCTCAATTCCTGATCGTATGGGCTTCACAAAATCCGCGAATTGCCTATGTATTGCTATATTTATGCTTAAGCAAAGCTTCTCTGATAATAATTCCTTTTTATTTCCTTCATTTGGCTAAACATTATTACACCTCAACGTCCGTATATACTGCATCATTTGCTGAAGTCTGTAAATTGTCAATTCTGAATTGACGATGATTGAGAAAAACACGAGCATATCAAACTTGAATTGGGCCATATATACAATATGATGTATGTTAGGCCTAGCTATTTTTTGTTGGCATGTGCTCATAGATTTATTATTCTGTTTGATTTTATATACTCTGTACTAAGATTAATCCATTGATTCGAAATTCATTTACGGAGTAACATTAACAATGAAAAATAAAGATTATCGTAATTATTCAATAACATGATAAGTGAAACTAAGATGAATTAAGCATGGTCGTACTATGATAAGACCTATGAGTTAGACCAATTTAACAATAATAATTCCCTTTTAACCTCAAACTAACATACAATAATTAGGAATTCAGGACCATAACTTTGCTTTTATTTCTGGTATAAAAGTAGAATACGAAGTATATGATAAGCATGCAATAATGTGGACAAGTCTACACTATAATACGGAGTAGGACATTAGGACATGGATGGTAATAACCAAACTTCTATTTATGTTGAAAGGATCTTAAGAATTCAACCAATTGATCGTCAAGAATGTGTTTCACATAAATGATAAAACTATAAAATTAATAATTAATAATAATTTTTCTGCTTTCATACAGATAAAGAAAATCAACAAGCACATGTAGTATATTTCAAATTAAGGTAGGCGGAAAATACATTATTTGGATAATGTACATCCTTATCGATCCTTTGTATGATCTCTAGTTTGGTGGCCTTCTAAATTGATCGAATGCACAAGTTTTAGTCTTCATTGGTGAGCTTTCAAGATTTTGTAAATCGAATGTCATATTGTCGTGTACAATATGTATGCCCAGCTGCCATAATTGGTGGTTAACGACATAAAATAACTTTTTTTTTTTTTTTTTTTTTTTTTTTTTTTACAAATACTAATATTATATTCTCGGCCTATTTAGTGGTGCTTGTTAGTTTAAATGAAATATCGTTATAGAATTATTTGGTTAGCAAAATCATAAGAAGTCCTACTTTTTACGAAGTTACATACTTTCTACAAAAGAAAGTTGTTAAAATAGGTATTAGGCCCACCCTACTACTTAATTAAGTAAGTAGAATTTCTCATGGGAGACTCTTATTCTGCTCAACAAAATAACATTTTTGCTATAGAAAAAATATATAAGTACATTGAAAATAATTTATCCTAGGAAATTTGCTTCATAATTTTTTACAAATTTTTGATTAACGTATCTATGGACTACTCCCTTCTTGTTTATATGTTACTTGTTAGTCTTATTTCATTCTTTGTACAATTTACACTTTAAAGTTTAAAATACTATAAATGTATCAATATACGAAGTATATATGAATCAAACGAGGTCTCATACTTTCACGTGTGCAATGTATGTGTTTTATTTTCTTATATTGACTAAATTAAATATCATCAAGGATTAAGGTTTAATCAGAGTTCTTTTTTAATTCATTGCCTTAAAAAAAAAAAAAAAAAATCACCCAGAAATAGCGTAAACCACTTGATTTTCCATGAGCTGGAATATATTCAACGAACCAAAAATTGCCGACAATTAAGATCCTCATTTGGCACTCCGCACATGATATAATCTGACGACCAGCCCATTTAATTTGCAACGTTGTTAATACAACACAAATAAACAATAAAATTTTCTAACAATTAAAAAAGACAAGTAGACAACACGGTGTGAATAGGTTGTTTAAAATGGCTCGTTCCATCAAATGAACTTCTATTTATAGAAGAGGGTTTTGGCCAATATTAATTAAAAGAAAGGAAAGAAAAAAAGAAGAGCACTTAATTAAAAGAAAGCTAGAAATTAAAAGCAAATGAGAATGGAGGAGTTTTTCCACATGACTACAGGTGATGGGGAGCTCAGTTATGCTAAAAATTCTTCTGTTCAGGTAACTCATTACAATTTAATCTTGATTTTTCTCCAATTAATTAATGTTACTAATCTTAATTTGATTATATATTGTTTAACTTGAAATAAAAGTTTAGGTCTTTTAGTAAACTAGCACATTATTATATGGTACCCATGATTCGTTATACAATCTTGTTATTGTTTATAATTTTCATATTGTTGTTTGTTTTTAATGAACAAATTAAATTTAAGCATAAACATCAGTAAATTTCTATTGAAAATATTAAAGCATAAACATCAGTAAACTTGGTATATCATTAATTAATTTTGATTCATATTTAAATCCATGGAATAATATTTAGACCAACTCTTTTGGTTTGTTATCAATCAAAGCTTGACTCATTCACTTGGTAAAAATCTTATCTTAATTCCTAGAGGTTTTGTTATCAATAGGTTTGTTGAATCATCTAGTGATCTACATCCTGTCTATTGGATTGGGTTTATTGGTTTGCGCTACACTCATGTTATTATCAACAATAAGACATTAATCGTTACAAATATGATCAAAATTGACAAACTTTAGTGTGTAAACCAGTCTTCCTAGGTGAGCTTTCAAGGTTGAATTGTATACGTATATGTGGCTGCCACAATGGCTCGTGAATTTAATGAAATATACTACGTATATATATAGTTGTATAACATGTGAAATGTTTCACAAACAATCAATATATACCAAAGCAATAAAAACAACTTACACAAGCAAGAAAATTAAACGTAACGTAGATCACATTATATGACATGAAATAATGTTCTAACAACTGTACGTTGAGTAAGATGCTACATAAACAGGAAATAATAACTTGAGATATCGCCCATACATAAACAGAAAGCTTTAATGCACACAATTAAGTACTCCATAAATTAGTTTTGTTTCTGGGTGGTATTTCAAGTTATTACGTACACTTCGTTTTTCATTCTTAATTGACATTTTCTTCATAATTATCCTGTTTAGAAAAAAGAACATGAATGTAAATTAACGTGGACGACTAAGTGAATAAGTCTTTGATTATCAATTCAAGATACTGACTTTATTGGGAACACATTTTGATAGATTATTATAAATTTACTTTATACTTGGAATTAAATTTGAAATAATAATGTATTTTTGTAGAAATTTTATGAGAAATCACCTTATAAACCCCCCCCCCCCCCTCCTTTTTTTGAAACATTTTAAACCCTTTTTTTGTGTGTGAAAAACTACCTTTTTTTAAATGAATTGTTGTAAAAACCACATAATTTAGAATTTTTGCTGTAATTTGTCATCAACAACCGAGCAAATGATGACAATTGAATTGTTAATGGTTGAAGCTCATTTTCCTGCATGCAACAGGTGGTGAATTACAACATAAAGTTTAAATGTGATGATTTTTTACAACATTTTGTTTAATGTGGTTTTTAATAATAATAAGAATTTAAAAGGTGATTTTTGACAAATTTTCTTATTTTTTAATAATAATTTTATTATTTATATGGAAATAAGATATAAACATGACTGATGCAACTTGCAAGGTTTGAATCCACAACCTCATACTTGATTATCAAAGATTCATCCACTAATCTACGTCACGCAATATTACATGAATCGTTTCACGAAATCTAATAATGATTAAGAGTGGACAATAAAGAGCATATAATAACGAATAACACGGGGCATTATTGCTCAAGCTCAAATAATGAATCTTGATGTAAATAAACAGTTTAAATAAGAGATATTATAAATGGATATAAACAGCATACAATACTCAAGCTCAAATAATGAATCTTGATGCAAATAAGCTCAAACAGAATCAGCCATGCTTCTTGATGGGTGTGCCATGTCTATATATTTTAAAGAATTTTTTAAAACGAATTTTATGATGGAAATAGAACTGAGTGACTGGTATTTTGTTTGTTCATTTAAAATCACATACTTGAATAGCTTCGATTCAATATCATTCAAATGATAATCATATTCAATTATTGCAACAGAGGGAAGCGTTGTCAATGAACCAAGATATATTAGAGAGCACAATTCAATCTCTAATTTCAGAGCAAATTGGCTTATCTAAAGGTCTTAATATAGCTGATTTAGGATGTGGCGTAGGCCCAGCTCCTTTGACTCTAATATCATTAGTGATGGAAGTTGTGCAAAGGAAGTGCAAGGAATTGAAGCTCAATAATGAAACTCATCATCAAGTGTCTAAACTTCAAATGTACATGAATGACCTTCCCTCAAATGATTTCAACTTATTGTTCAAAGATTTGCTCAGTTTGAAGGTATTAAAAAGAAAAGATGATGGCGTGCCCTTGTGCTTCGTGATGGGTGTACCTGGTTCCTATTATGACGTACTTTTTCCTTGCAACACTTTGCATTTTGTTCATGCAAATTACACTCTTCACTGGTTGTCTAAGGTTCGTTTTCTTAGATTGTTTTACTTAATTTTCTTTTCTTAGAATATACCTAAATTGTAATCATGTGTAATATAATATCATATATCTTAAATTTGACAAGTTAAGCCTATCAATTTACGAGTCTCCCTCCCGGTTCCAAGAGATCCTGAGATCGATTCTCACCTCGCCCTTATGACTCTCTAAACACCAAAAAAATAAAATATTATGAGTCTTATGTATTTCATGTGAAAATATTATATAACAATAAAACAGAGTTTAACTAACACCATCTTCTAACATGACATAAACCATCTCATTATTTTTCTATCAAAATTTCTTGATTTTTTTGATGGAAAAACTTTTACAATTAAAATTTAAACTTATTATGATTTTTTGGTAATTAACAAGCGTTTTCATGACTTTGTGCTATGTATATTACAGGCACCACCAGGACTTTATGATGAGCAGGGCATGTCAATAAACAAGAGGAACATTTATATATCCGAAACAAGTTCTAGACCAGTTGCTATAGCTTATCGGGATCAATTTGAGCAAGACTTCATCCAGTTCCTCAAATGCCGCTCGAAAGAAGTGGTAACCAACGGGTCTATGCTCTTGACCCTTCGAGGTCGACCATGTTCTTCAGACTCGTTCACTTGGACATCATTTGAGTTCAAAATCTTTATTAAGGCTCTTACTTGCCTTGTTTCCGAGGTCTTACACTCCATCCGCTACTATCATTTTTCTTTTTTGTTTTTAATGTCAGTATGCCATACCTTTAGGGTTAAATATAAACATTCAATATTTTTTCTAAAATAATAAATTTATTAGTTTAGACAAAATCGTACATCAACTAGTATTTTTAATGCATCGATAACTAAAAGATATTCAACTTAACCCTTAGAAGTTAGTACTACGTACCTAAACCAAATTTCTATTAAATATTCAATTTGCTATATTAGGGCTACAATTGATAGCTAACCGTGAATGTTTTTCAGGGATTGATTAATGAAGAAATGCTCGACAATTTCGATTTCCCTTGCTATTTCGCAAACACAGAGGAACTTGAAAGCATAGTGAAAAAGGAAGGGTCATTTGAATTTGAAATTTCAAGGACAATGGTACTTGATATAGCACCTGAAGTTGAAGACAAATGGGAACGAGCTCAAATCATTTCGAACTTCATTAGAGCATTCTCCGAATCATTAGTATCGCGTCATTTTGGAGAAGACATAGTCACCCCTTTATATGATAAACTCATATATTATGCATTCCAACATTTGGATCATGCTCAACCTGCTCAGAACCACGCTGTTACAGTCTTGCTTAGAAAAAAATAAGCATCATTAGATTATAGTAAAAATTTCTTGTTTTTTTTTTTTTTTTCTCCCTTTTCCCCTGTTATTCATTCATAGTATAACACAATTTATAATTTAAATGCATATGTATTCATGTCTATCGTGAAACAAATTATTTTTTTTTTCCGAGGTAAAAGAGGGAATTAATTCATACGCAAAGAGTTAACATAGTTTGGTTGGCTTCCCATAGGATAGCCCAAAATTACATCCTGGGGATTTTCATCCCGTGCTACCATTACTAAGTCATTCTCCAAAGCATAAATACATATAGTAGGAGGAAGATCTACTATATTACAAATCTGGTTCAAAATATTTAAATTTCCTATTGTATCTTTCGCCAGGATGTCAGCCACCTTGTTTTTCCCTCTTTTCCCATAGTATAGCTTCACCTCAAGTAGTTCCTGCAACTCCAGCCTGCAAATATTCAATTTTGGTGTTAGCGTATAGGTAGAGTTGCTGTCATTTATATCTTCCACTAGGTATTTGTTGTCCGATTCCACACAACACTTACGCCACTCTTTTGCATGAATCCAACCCACTGCTAACAAGATGCCCTGTAATTCAGCATCCTTGGGTGAAGTAGAATAACCCTTCCATTGAAAACCACCTTTCCATTGGCCCTTCTCATCTCTACAAACTCTTACACAGCCAGTTTCTTTGGAGTGGTTGACAAAGGATGCATCAACATTAATCTTAAGGAAGGAAGGAAGGGGGGATCCAGGTTGGGCTCTATTCTAGTTGCATGATCTTTTGAGGAGTAAAACCATTCACTAGCAGCCCAAATGCATTGGGAGGTAAATTTAATTTTTTTTAGAGGTGTAGACACCTAAAAATGTCTCCCAAAAACCCAAAAACTAAACCCGATGATGAACAACCTTTCTCCGTCATTATTGGTCGGGTTGAGTATTTAATCTTGGGAGTGCTTAAAATCCATGTTTAGTCATACACATCAGTCAACAAATCAGTCCAAACATTTATTCGAACATTGTCCAACTCACAGTGTAGCTCAAACCCTTTTTAATCCATTTCGTTATTTATTAATTAAGCCCGATTAATAAATAATAAAACCCTAAATAGGTTCGGAACTCTGAAACGATGCCTAAATATCACGTACTTAATGATCAAGAAATAGGGTTAAAATGAATTTGGACGGAAATCTAGAAAACACATTTGCCGTGTCACGACAATTTTTAGGTTTTCCTCCACGGCACATTTCATTTCTAGGGTTTCGTGCATCACTCTGTTCATTTCTTCTATAAATACGAGGCAAATTTCTCAGTCTCGGGGCAGCAACACACATTTTCTTTTCTCTCTCTCACATTCTAAGCCTTAAACCTATTTTTCTAAATATATCATTCCTTCCATAAGCACTCCCTGGAATCCATACAACACCCGGAGTTCCATACTTAAACCAAGATGTGAAAGGTAGAACCGACTGAGGGTTTGGCCCCAAATCAACTCTACTTTAATTAATTTAATATCAATTTGATTTTATATTTTATTGAAGTTACTAACGTTTTATTCATGATGTAGCAATTTAAAGAAACGCGGAACGTGAGTAATTAATTCACTTAATTACTCTTTTTATTATTCTTGTTGCTAGTATCATGATTAGGTTCATTATTATTTGATTTGACTAACGATATTATGGTTAAATTGCTTCCAATGTTGATGTTAATTTTATTATATTTACGATCACCATATTGCATGTTTAAAGGGAATATGTAATTGAATATAACGCCTAATAAGATAATTTGGACAACCGATTAGGTTCCTTTTTAATCTTGTTGTTTAATTGAAGTGATCACAATATTTTAGAATTATATGTTGCATTAACATTCAACCAATTTAGCCTAATAATAGTTTGGAGCAAATTGAATCTCTGTTTACATGCCTTTGAGATCGCAGGAAACACTTTTCGCAATAAGAATCGAGTAGAGGCCAATACGGGCGAATGTGACTCCATGACTCAATTCATACCATCATCCTCGATCTTCCTTTCACGGTTCCGAACCACATGGAGTTAGTAATCTCATGGATTATGAATAGGGTGTAACCACTATTAGAAATAGGTCGATTTTCGACGGACTGTTTCCGACGGACACATAATTCCGTCGGAAGTTTCGACGAATTTTTTTTTTCGTCGGAAATTTCCGACGGAATTTTCGACGGAATTAAAATCCGTTGGAATATAAGGCTTTCCGACGGAATATTTCCGTCGGAAGATTACATTTCCGGTGGAATTAAAATCCGTCAGAAATTTCCGACGGAATAATAAGTTATATAAAAAGGTAAACCCTAACAACAACTCTCTTTCATTCTCGCCTCCCTTCTCTTTCTCTCTCCTCTCCTCTCCTCTTTCCTCTTCTCCTCTTCCTTCTATGCAGCGCCTCTTCTTCTCTTTCATTTCTCTTTCTCCTCTTCTGTGCAGCGCTCTCTCCTCTCTCCTCTTCTCTTTCTCTCTCTTCTCTTTCCTCTTTTCTTTCTCTGTGTTCAACCAACAACAACAACAACAACAACAACGATTCAACCAACAACAACAACGACTTCAACCAACAACAACAACCGTCTAAGACAACCACCGTCAACCAACATCAACAACTATCTAAGACAACCACCGTCAACCAACATCAACAACAACCACCGTCAACAACAACGGCGTAACACTCAAGGTTTTTTTTTTATATCTAGTTTTAATTTATCTTAGATTTAGATCTACTTAGTTTTTTTTGTATTTGTAATATTAATTGTATTCCTTTAATTATTAATGTATAATTATCGTTTTTTTTATATGAAATTCTAATTAAATTTCGATTTGATTGATTTTTTTATGGTTTTGATTGTTTTGTATTATATTTTTCGATATTTTTGGTTTAATTTTTGAATTGTATTTATCGAATTTTGGTTTAATTTTTGTATGTTTTTTCGATTCTTTTTACTGTTTTTGTGGTTGTTTTTTTTTTTGATTTTTTTTGGGGAGGCCGGTTGTCGTGGTCGGGCTGGCGAGGAGTGGTGGGGCTGGCGGGGAGTGGGGAGATTAGGTGGTGGGGTGACGGTGTGGAGTGGTGGGGTGACGAGGAAGGGAGAGGGGCTGGTGGTGCGTGGTGGGGGCTGGTGTTGAGTGGTGGTGAGTGGTGGTTAAGGGGAGGTGGGCAAGTGATGGTGTTGGGCTTTTTTTTAAATTATCTGGGTGGGGAAGTGGTGGCTGTATTGGGTGGGGTAGGGTGGTTGGGGTGGTGGTGGGTTTTTTTTTAATTTTTTTATTGCTATTTCCGACGGAATTTCCGTCTGAAGTTTTCGGCGGATTTGTATTTCGTCAGAAATTTCCGACGGACTTTTCGGTGGCCGGAACTTTCCTTCCTACGAGAAAAATCCGTCGGAAAACACTGTTCCGACGGAATTTCCGACGAAAAAGCCGTTTTTCCTACAAAAGGTCTCCCGACAACACGTTCCGACGGAATTTCTGTCGGAAACAGTGTTTTCCGACGGAATTCAGGGTGTTTCCGACGGAATTTTTCCGCCGGAAATGGCCTGTTTTCTAGTAGTGAACTTTCACGGGTAAATCGTTGTTACCTATCATTGTCCCTTATTCGTGGTTGCCTTAAATGATCCGTGAACGATTTACAAGTTCCTTAAAAACTTGTTGGCGGCTCCCTATTTTGCTTTGTCCCTAGTCGTGTCCCTAATCGTATATGTCAATTCCCACTTCCTATGAGTGCCAAGCATATTCACCACATGCTTAACGTAGGCGCGCTTTGAACGACGCCTACAAGAGGGTTGTTTGTTTGGGAGAAGATCCACTTGTGGGTTGGATTGCTTGACTTCAAGTTTATGAGAATCCAATTGGGGAGAGGTTCATTCTTGTTTCTGGAGCAGGTTGGGGGATGCAGAGTTCTGACCAAAATTCAGAAGCTCTGATGCAGAAATAGAAGATGTGATCTGCATCTTCATCTAAGGTTTGAAAGAAGGTGCAAGCACTAGATTGGGCAATGTTTCTGAAGAAAAGGTTTGCAGAGGTGGGAAGTCTATCCCATATCAGCTGCCAGATGAAAAGTTTTATTTTTGGATATGTATATGCTCTCTATACAGTGTCCCAATCTCAGCTTAGGTTGTAATAATTGCTACCTTGTTGCATTCTATTACTAACCAGGCAGCTTTTTGCCAGTTTACTGTCAAACTTTCCCTTTTTAGTCCAACCAGTGAAATTAAAATCATCGTTGTTGGTTAGAAAGGTACCATCAATTCTAGAGAAGAGCTCATCAGATAGTTGGAATTGAATTGCTTCCTCTAGTTCAGGTTTAGAATGGATGGGAAGAGAATTGAGGTTTTGAAGTTGAGATTGTTGGTTTAAAGGACCCACCAGAAGGCTCCTCATGGCATCTGCTTGAAACTGATGGTCTGACCATCTCGTGGTTCCCATTGAAGGCTATTCTTGAACAAATCCCAGCCCCTACCCACAGCATTACAAATATGGGAACCTTTGTTAAAAGGAGTTGGGTTTTGTTTGTTTTGAATATACTTTTCAAAAAGGATTTTCCTTCTCTTGGCAAGCCCTAATTGGTTTAACTCCTCACTGGTTAAGCAAAGCATGTCCAAAGGAAACTTGAATGAAAAGGATCACTTATTACATACGGAGTACCTAAGAGTATGTATTTGTGTGTGGACGACAATTGCTACAACATGTCAACATGAATCAATCAAGGAAGTTTGTTGCAAAGTTGCCCTTTCCAATTATGGTAGTTTATTTTATTTATTTGGCAATCTCTGACTCACCCGGTTACCCAACTCAATCATAATTATCTTCCACTTCGCGGTATGTTTCAACTTATTTTTTAGTTTGTTTGGGTAATGTTATGGGAAGGAAAAGAAAGGGAGGGAGGTGAAGGGAAGGGAAAAGAAGGGGAAGGAAGAAGGATGAGTTTTCCTTCCAAATCTCTCCATTATTGTCGGAGGGATTATTTTCTTAGAATTTAATCCCTTCATTTCTCTCTCCTCCAATTCCCTTCATCCCTAAATTTTTATCCAAATGAAAGAAACTCCCTCCCTCAATTTCCCTTTCCTTCCTCTCCCTCCATTTTCTTCAATCCAAACACACTCTTAGATATATCGAGTAACAAATTTAATTAAACTTAGATAAGATAAAATTTAAGTTAGAATTTTGGATTTTCGTAATACACCAACAAATTTATTTTGGAAAACATAAATTATTTACTTTAAGGGTTGTTAAATAAGTTAAGGATATAAACTCTATTGAGAATTAATAAGGAGTATGGGTTACCTAAGTTCAAATTACAGCTAAAATAAGTTCTAATGAGATTTATTAAGTTTTGATAAGATAAAATAATTTCAGTGAAGTATATACTAACGAAATATTGACTAACAAACTGACTTTTAATTACTATGGAGTACTACTACATACTCCATAAATATAAAATAAAATAACATAAAAAAGATTGAACATTTAGGCACTACTTCTTCCTCTCTATGTATGTTTGGCAACTATTGACAATTGCGAGAAGAAAAAATAATTAAAATTTTAATTTCTTCCATTTTCTTAAGTGTTAAATTTTAATTTGACTTTTTATACTATTTGCATATTTCGCTTTGAACTATTGGGACTGATTAATACATAAGAAACAAATAGTTATGTGAGATCTTATTAGAATCATTTCAATACAAAATTTATAAATATTAAATTGTTATAATTTATATTTTTTTTAATGATAAATAAATATGTTACCTATCGATATTTCACATTGTCCTATATATCTAGTCAAATTGGGGTACTTACAAAAGTCGATGTCTGATGGGTGTTATAAATAGGAGGGTTATAATTGGCTAGAGCCATGCAAGGAAACAAAGAAAGGATTTAAAGAAAAAGGAAACAAGGAGGAGGTTTCCGGCTTGCATCAAAAAAAAAAAAAAAAAAAAAAAAAAAAAACTGTGTGAGAGAGAGAGAGTTGGTGATGGAGAGCTTAACTATTTTCAAAATTCTTTTGTGCAGGTAATATGATCTTCTCTAGTCATAACATCACCCTAACTATAAAATTAACAATTGAAAATTACGTAGAAGAAATTTCTGTTAAATTAAACACAATACTATTACTCTCCTGATTTTTTCACGTTTGGTCATATTCAGTTCATTTTACCTAAAAGAAACTCATTATTTGAACATGGACAAAACACTTAAAATTTGATTGAAAAATGTTCAGTATGCAACCATCTTTGTTCAATAATGTCCAGTCAATTCTCTTATAATATTTTGTTTGATATCAATATCTTTTAATCCTTTATAGATGTTGCATGACGGCTTTTTATCAATAAATCAATTTTGTTATATGTAAAAATAATGATATACTCCCTCTGTTTTATAATGTTAGTCTCATATGGAATCAATCACATAAAATAAGAAAAGAAGAATATTTGGAATCTAATATTAAAGTACAAAATAATTCATAATTAGTTTACCTTATTTAACTTTTTTGATTTTATTTTTGGGAAAGCATAAGTCATAATGCATAATTAAAGGTAGAGATTTCCTTACTTAGAGTCATATCATCAAACCACAACCAATTAAGTCCAAAAAAATTAAGTTAAAAATAGAACATCTTCAATATGGGTAGATCTTTTTGAAACGTCCAAATTAATATATGGGACTAACATTATGAAATGGAAGGAGTATCTAATAATGGATATTTAAAAGTTACTTCGTATGTATATATATATATATATATATATATATATATATATATATATTATATATATATATATATATATATATATATATATATATATATATATAAACTTCATGTATGTGTAAATGTCCATTTATAGTACTTTTGCTTAATCGAACATACACTTCATGCTTAGCTTAGAGGGGAAATATAATGAAATTAGGGTTATTAAAGGGAAAAAAGGATCGGAAAAGAAAAAAGAAGAGAAAGTAAGGCCGGCTTTGTAGCTTAGCACCTACTTCTCCTTACTCTTATGAGTAGCGAGCTACTAATAATGATTAAATCTATTTTACGAACTTACGAGTAACTAGTAATGATGGTTAAATCTATTTTACGAAAATTAAAAGATTTAGGTTTTTATTATTATTATTATTATTAAATTTGATCTTAATTATATCTAAAATTTTCTGCAAACTATAATTGTTATAGTTGTGTATAATTATTGAAATAGGAGGAGGCATGGTTGATGAGCCAAAATATATTGGAGAATACAATACAATCTCTACTTTCAGAAGAACAAGGCCAATCTAATTGCCTTAATGTTGTTGATTTGGGATGTGGTGTGGGCCCGGTTCCATTGGCTTTTGTAGCATTGGTGACAAGAATGATCTTCCCTCAAATGATTTCAATTTGTTATATAGACATTTGACGAATTTAGAAGAGCTTAAAACTAAAGATGATGGTGTGCCCTCATGCTTCGTGAAGGTTGTTCCCGGTTCTTATTATGATAGCCTTTTTCCTCCGAATAGTTTGCATTTGGTCCATGCAAATTACACCCTTCATTGGTTAATTAAGGTTTGTTTAAATCGACTTTTATCTTAGTGATTTTCACTGAGCTAATCAATCTCTTTCTTGGCCCATACTTAAATTTGCTAATTAGTCTATTCCATGGTTATGTATTATATAAAGGCACCGTGTGGACTCTACGATAAGCAAGGTATACCAATAAACCAGGGGAATGTTTATATCTGTAAAACAAGCCTCAAGGAAGTTGCAAAAGCTTACTTTGCTCAATTTGAACAAAACTTCACCCAATTCCTTCAACGTCGCTCGGACGAAGTGGTACGCAATGGCTGTATGTTCTTGACCCTTAGCGGTCGGCCATGTTCTACAGATTCATTTACTTGGACGTCATTCGAGCTCAAATTACTCACCAAGGCCTTTACTTGTCTTGTTTTTGAGGTATAACACTCTATCTACCTTTATCAAGTTTTGTTAGGAAAATAAGTAAATAACCCACATGTGAGTTAGGATTGGTCCTTCCACATTGAAGAAATAAGAGGAGAATGACTAAGACATAAGATTGGTGAGCTACTCCACCTATCACCATCATGGTTTTAAGATAAAACCTTATTTGGCTTATATGTGGTCATTTTCTCCTTTATTTACGTGGCTTTGTGCTTGGCCTAGGGCATGATTTTATTTTTAATCATTATTGATTCATGATGAACAAAAAGCATTTTGCAATCAAATTTTTGTTTTAAGAGTATCTTTACAATTATGTGTTCTCAGGGATTAATTAAAGAAGAGATGTTAGACGAATTCGATTTCCCGATATATTACGCAAGCACGGAGCAACTAGAAAGCATAGTAAAAAAAGGAAGGGTCATTCACAGTAGAAAATTCTAAGACAATGGCGATTGATGTGGCACATAAAATTGAAGAGAAATGGGAAAGAGCTCAAAACGTAACAAACTTCATTAGAGCATTTTCAGAATCACTAGTTTCGCGTCATTTTGGAGAAGAAATACTCGGCCCTTCGTATGATAAGCTCACCTATCATGCATTCCAACGTTTGGTTGATGCTCAACCTGTTGAGACATATGCTGTTACTATATTACTTCGAAAAAAGTAAGCACACTATGCATAAACGGAAGGAGATATCTCTTCTTAGTCCTCACTCGGCGTGTGTTGATTTGGTTGATGCATGTGTGTGGGAGTTGGGTCCATTGGCATGTATAATTGTATATACCATTGCTATCAATAGCTCTGTATTGTGATGCTATTCACGGAGAAGATAGCTCTGTATTGTTTCATGTTATTTCATTCTTGTTTGTTATCCATGATACTTGTATCAGTTGGTCACAAAATGGTACTACAGTTTTTATATATAATTTGCATTTCTGCAAGGCTAGCTACCACTTTGATGCATGAATGCTGGTGCATATCCAAAACTCAACTCGCTAGATCCCATTACAATAACTTCATGAAATCATGAGGAATATAGAGTACTATACAAAGCATTAGTAGGTTATTCAATGTCAATGTTATCAAGCTTATCATATTTGTTAATGACCAAGTGTTAAAGATTGTCAAAATTTGGCTCTCAACATATTCAATTTTGCAATCAGTTTCATATCAATGTAATAGACTCTTCATAGTGTGTTTGTCCAAAAAAAAAATGCTTCGGCAAATATTGACAAATAGAAAGATCTAACAGATGATATTTTTAAAAATAACTAGAATCAACTTCATTTTCTTTGCTGGGAAGATGTACAGTACAATAGAAGCTTCTCTAAGGAGTCAACAAGACTCATTTGCTTAATGTCGGGAAAATTTGGACCAGAAGTAAACCAAGAAGAGACAAAAAAGAGCAAAGAGAACAACGTGCATTACATGATTTGATCCGTTTTGCACAATGCTGCTGTTTATTCTCCTCATGTTGTTCTTCAAACTAGCTTGAGCTTTGATAAGGGTCATTTGCTGTAACAGAAAAAACACAATACATGTCATAAAAAGCATCGGAGTAGTTTACTGAATTGTAGTAGTTTTATTGATGACCAATATGATTCACAGCAACCTTCACTATCTCCTTTCTCATGACATGAACATAAAAAACAATTCATTATCATATGGTTCTGTTCAACTAAAAAGTCACATACTCATTCATGCATGTAAATTACAAAAATCCCCAAAGGTTGAGTTAATATCCACACACGGAAAAGAGCATCAGTTTCAGAAAATACTTAAGAAAGTCTAATCCTAAAAGAGGCCGGTCAATTAAACATATAACAAGAAAGACCAGAAAACCGGTCATGTTACTGGTATCTGCAACACTGAAACAGAATTCATCAACATTAGCAAGAATGTGGAACCAATTCTGATTCTTTTGGGGTTCAGATAATGAAAAGAAATTCCAACAGAAAGAGGGTGAATGGGAAAGAAGGCAACACAGCAATAGGTTGAGGGAAAAAAAAAACATAACAAGAAAATTCTGAACAAAGGAAAGCAGGAACCTATTCTTAAGGTATATTTGACAAAATAGTAGTTATAATAAGGCATTCTAATCCTTAAGCTAGTCAAGAGTTGCATTTGATGAAGAGAAAAGTACCCAAAAGAGAAAACAAGCAGTGATATCACAAAAACAACTTAACAGATTTTCAAAATATCGAGTCAAAGCAAAAAAAATGCTATAAATATAGAAGATTAAGCTGATGCCTTACCAACTGATCTACAAAGTCACTCTGAAGTTTTGCCTCTGAGTTAATCTCTTGTGCTACCTGTATAAAAATCATAGCATTAGAAACCAAATGAAAGTGTAACAGAAGAACATAAAAAATGAACCAAGACAAAGGATGAAAGTACCTAAGAAGTGCTGGGGCACCTAACAAAACGAAAAATTTTCTAGTAAATTCATATTTAGTTATCCAACAAGGTTCAAACAACTCTCCAGAAATCACTAACCCAAAACAAAAACTCAAGAGTGTCAAGACTTTAAATCAAGGTTGCAAGATCTAAGTTCCAAATAAAACAATCATCTTGAACCTCGATTGTCCTAGTGGCAAAAGCACCTAACCAAGACCACAATTCGACAATATATTCTAGCAAAACCCCCTTAGACTGAATGATAAAAGGCACACTCCCTCCTCCAAAAATCCACCCATCAACATGTACGAAACGAGATACAATAGGTCGCCCAGTCTTCTAAAAATATGAATAAAACAATCATATACAACAGGTGATGCTACCGTGAATTCAGAGCATATACAAACAAATCCATTAATCCAGCATATTACTTTTCCTGTCAAATTACACTTAAATTGATCCCATTAACGCTATCTATAACCGACTACCAAACGAGCCATAAAATCCCTAAAATTAAATAATAAGCTTCTTCCACATCAAACCAGTGACAAATCAAGTACCTTCTAAAGTTCTTCCTTCTAAATACTTTCAAAATACATGATTAATTCCTAAAATTTTCATCCAATAATGCTATAAAATAACCTAATTTCATGTAATATACGAAGCTTTAATAATTAAGACAAGAAAGAACAAAAAGAAAATTACATTTTTAAGCCTTCGAACTTGAGAAGTAAGACCAATAATTTCATCATCAAGGTCAGCATGCATTGGATCAATCCGCAATTGAATCTCATCTGAATTTCCCACCTGCCGAGTACTCAACCCATCGCTACACTCAAAAAAAAAATTAAAATCAAAATTCACTTCAAAAATTAGAATCAAGTTCAAATTGAAGAATAATTTTTGATAATTTGGGATTGATTGATCGTAATTACCTTGATCTGAAGGGAGCAGCACCACCTCTGAACGCCATAACTTGAGTAATCAAAGAAAATTAAGTGAGAAAATTAGGGTTTGTGAATTGAAAGAGGGGTTTCTTGAATAATGAAAGATTAAGATGAATTGGTAACGAAATTAGGTGATTAAAGTAGAAGGACAAAGAAAGAGATGAAATTTGCAGGAATTGAGGAGAGAGAAATTGAAGAAATAGGTGTGCAAATTGTTTTCCAGGTAGGAGAAGGAAAAGAAATATTCCAGAATTTTTTTTGTGGGTGTGATATTTCACGCGGCTTTCTCTTATTGGATATCTTGCGTGTCTAATTCTGTTTGCAGTTAGGATTTTTTTTTTTTTTTGGTAAGAAATTTTTAACGTTAACTTTTACCGTTTTTATATGTTTTTTTAATTTTTTTCCTCATGTTATCTTTTTTTCACAAACTTTCGTACTACTTTCATTGCAACTTTGGAATATTTTAGAGCAGCTCCAATGGTGTTTTTTTAAGGACCTGCTTGCAAATACGAAAAATAATAAAAGTGTTGCTTAACCATTGGAGCACTATTGAAATACTTGCTCTCTTGAGCAGTATTGTTGAGTTAAGCTACAATGCTTCGAAATAAGTATTTATAAATTATTTTAAAAACTTGAAGAGTAGGGGACACGATTGGTTTTCCATGAAACGTGATATGCAATTGTTATAAAAGATAACGCAACATCATTTTTTATCTTTTTCTAAAAAAATAAATTTTAAAATATTATTTTCATCATCATTAACTGACATATAGGTAGGTGATGTTGACTAATCTTAATCCTAGTATATAACTAGGTAGACTTTTTTCTTTTTAAAAAAAAAAAAATTGACTAACATTTACTCCGATAGTTTACAAGGTTATAGGTTGTACACATTCACTCGTACTGTATATTTCATTTTTCATTGAAATTTTTTTTGACAATATTTAAATTCAAATTTTTTGATTACTTTATATAATAACAAACTTGACTTTGTCAACATGAGATTTTGCCAAAATTTTAGCCAACGTACAATATTTGGTAACCATATTTAGCTTTGAATTATTAACTAATGCATCTATAAATAAGTTCTTAAAACTTAAGATACAACCGGTATATTGTTTCACAAAAACATAATCTTAAAATACTTTCATATCTACAATTAGTTCCTCGTAAATTTAAATGGATGATGCGGATAATCCATTTAGTCAATATTTTGGTTTGAGAAATTCATCAAACAGTGGAAATTTCACCTCCGAAAATTCCTACCCTCAAACAGACTACCACCCTGACTACTATTATCCCAATACTACAATGCCTAATTTGCAAGACACCATGTCAAGCTACTATCCTCAACCTCCATTTTCAAGTGAATCTAATATGGTTCATGATTTTACAAGAAGAGAAGGTGTAGAGGCATCTAGCATGCACCAAGAATCATCACTCCAAAGGTCTCAAATGGAATCTGACACTCCTCAAAGTGATAATATACAAGAGGTAAATGCACAAGCTAATAGTAAGTCGACAGATAAGCTTTCATGGACCCAATACATGGATGAAGATTTATGTAATAATTGGCTAGATTTCACAACTGATTCAATCAAAATAAGGCGGATTATTGGAAAAAAAACTTGTAGAGTACTATAACAAGTGGAGAAGGGAAGGCCCTCCAATAACCATTGAGCAAGCCACAAATCACTGGTATAAAATGAGTCCTGAGGTTAGCAAGTTCAATGGGTGTTATATACAGATTAAAAGTGGTCACCCTAGTGGCAATGATGATGACCAAATGATTAGTAATGCCCAAAAACTTTTTACTAGCAAAAGTGAAAACAAGAAAAAAAAAATTTACTTATTTACATTCTTGGAAAATTCTTCGAAATGCCCTGAAGTGGAAGGATTATGTTTCTACACAAAGTAGTTCTACAAAAAGAACAAAGATTTCTATTCCTACAGATAACACTACCTCTTCCTCAAATCCTAATACTAGTGAAATTGATAACGTGGACATTGGAGATAAACGACTAATGGGACAAAAGGCGGCTAAAGCAGTTGCGAGGAATAAAAGTAAAGTAAAAAAGCAAAACAGTTCATCTTGACGAGAAATGGGGTAATTATCAAGAAATACAGTCCAAAAGACTTCTTTTTTTTTTGGTGCAACAGTCCAAAAGACTTTCATTGTGCGAAGAACACATTCGACAACAAGATTTCATGATACTTTGCAAGGACACATCTAATATGGACGAAAATGCTAGAAAAAATCATGAGCAAGTACGTGAAATCATTAAGGCCAAGTATGGAATGTCATAATCACAAATTAGATAAATATGATGACTATTAAGTTAAGTATTTTAAGGTTTATTTATTTATTTATTTTAATTTATTAGAGGGGATTATTTTAGGTGTTTTTATGTTGAACTCAATAAGCAATTTATTAAAACTTTTCCTTTTATTATGTAATGTTTAATTTATTATTAATGTTATATATTAAGTTTCGTAGCATTCTTGATCTCTTTGTTATTTTTCTATCATTAGTGGTTAAAGCTTTGTTTTTAATTTGCTACTTCTTATTTTGCCTTCAGTATTTCATTTTTGAAAAATGAGTAAACTTATATATATATATGTATATGTATATATGTATGTATGTATGTATGTATGTATGAACCAACAACACTCATGGCTAAACAATGAAAAGCACAAAAATTTGGAGAAAGAAATTGAATGGTTCATCATATCATTATTAGAAGAGTTAAGAATCAAACTTGGCATAAGCTAAATATGACTTGGCATAAGCTAAAAATGTGATAGGAGGGAATATAGAACTAACTTTGACTTATCATTTATATGCGTTTTTACAAAAGTTTGTTATATGTATACAAAAACTTTGATTGATAAAAAAACTTTATATATATATATATATATATATACTTGTTCCGTTTTTTAGTCAACACGAGTATATCTTTTACATTATTTATAATATTTTTACGAGAGTTTGCTATATGTATACAATGACACCTTTTTCAGTTGACACGTTTATATTTTTACGAAAGCATTATATATGTATACAACAACTTTAATTATTACTTGACTAACTTTTGTTATTATAAATGATGCATGCATGATAAATCTAAGTCATCAAGTAAAAATGATCGGGAAAGTACTTAATTATGCTAGCTCATCCAATCCAAAGTAGAATACATGGTTTTTAATTCTTTTGTAAATTTTTTAAGAAGTATACATTTCATGTGTTAGTTATGCAAAAGAAATTATCGGGTCATACAACACTATATTTAGAGAAGGAATTTACATAGTACTAATTCCTCCTTACCCTTATGTCTCCTGGATTTGTGGAGCTAAATTAGCACTAACATATGAAGGAAATCAACTAAAATAAAATGTATACAAACAATAGTAAGTAGCATATATACTTGTATTAACGTGTATATTATCACCTTTATATTTTCTTGCATTTTATTTCATCATGTAAACCTTCATTCTATCCTTTATTACTCCACTAATATATACATATATTACCAATTTAAAATGTCTGAAAGTCCAAATTCTACAAGTAATAACTTTGATTAGGATAAATTTTGGGAAGAGCAATTATTTGATGAATCACATGAAGAAATCGGGTGATACATAATCTCACAATATGAAACACCCCCGAGAGAGGTTGTTCATCGTGATCGTGAAGGTGGTGCAGAACATTTATACAAAGATTTTCTGAACAACCAGTATATATACCCGGAACATTTTTTTTCGAAAACGTTTTCATATGAGGAGAGAGGTCTTCAATCGAATAGTGGAGGCCTTAAAAAATCACACTGAATATTTTCGACAAAGGTTTGATGCTGCAAAAAGAATGGGTTTGTCCCCTCTTAAAAAATGCACTGCTGCTATTCGCATATTAGCTTATGGAACTCCAGCTGATGCTGTTGACGAGTACATCAAGATTGGTGAGAGCACGGCTATGGAGTGTCTGGATTGTATGCATTGGGCATGGAAAAATTGCCCTATTGATGGAAAGGACAATACACTCGAGGTGATTATGGATATCCAACAATAATGCTTGAAGTTGTGGCCTCAATAGATCTATGGATTTGGCACGCATATTTCAGTGTTGTAGGATCAAACAACGACCTTAATGTGCTATATAGATCAAATTTGTTTCAAGAGAAATTGCAAGGATGAGCTCCGAAGGTTAATTTTACCATTAATGGCACCGAGTATGAAACGGGATATTATCTAGTTGATGGCATATATCCTGAGTGGGCAGCATTTGTTAAAAAATATTCACATCCTCGGGACCCAAAGAGGCTTTTGTTTAAGGAAAAGCAAGAGAGTGCAAGAAAAGATATTGAGAGGGCATTTGGGGTACTCCAATCTTGTTTTGCTATAGTTCGTGAGCCTGCACATTGTTGGCATTAACGCAATATCAACGATATTATGGATGCGTGTATTATATTACACAATATGATTATTGAAGACGAGCGTCACACTTATAACAAAAACTTTTCTAATGATGAATTTTCACCAAGTGTTGTTGATGATGTGCATCGGGAACATGAGGAAAATTTCGAGTCATACCTTGAAAGAAATGCAACAATCCGAGATAGACAAATGCATCACCAGCTAAAGGTTGATTTAGTGGAGCATATTTGGTCACGTTTTGGTAGCTATAACTTGAATTGATCTTAATTTGTTAAGTTTGATTTTTTTTTTTTTTTTTTTTTTTTAAGAAATGTTGTTTTGTTAATTAGTTTTATTTAGTGTATTGTCAAATGTTGATTACAAAATATGCAAATAAATTTAGGGAGAAAGGTTATCAATACTCTTGATGAAAATATTTAATACTTCGTATAAGCTCAAATAATCAAATTGCAAGCAAGTCATCTCATAGTACAAGTACAATACAACTTATATGAAATTATATTATTGGAGTAAATTATAATATTGATAGCGGGCACAACTTATGAAATTGTATTATTGGAATTTTTTTTGATAAAAAGTAAGTAAATTAGCAATGAAATTTTCAGCTCATATAGTGTAGTAAATAAAGTATTACATGCAAGCTTACCATTGGAGTACTTTGTAGCTTAAAAAGATTGTAGCTTACCATTACATGCAGATTATACATTTGTTTTTCTACTTTCTCTAGTAAGAGGTGGTTTAAGTCTTGAGTCTTGACACATTAATTTTAAAATGAGGAGGCCGGATCATTATATTGCGTTGAATACGTACTTGTTTAAGAAGAGGCGACGACATAGCATTATTTCTTTGTCCTAGGAACTATATGTACTATTTTTTGTTATATATTCAAATGAGGAAAACCAAAAATAAAGAAAAGAAATAATCAAGCCACGACAAACAATGAAAACAAAATCAAACTAACGGCCCTAAGAAGGAATTAGGTGAGGCAAAGCAACCCCCCTAATTAATGTCCTCATCTACGATCCGAATTAAGTCTAAAGGAACATATCATATTCTGACAAAGAAAGTCGTAGGCTGAGAGACGCATTG